CTGGAAGAAGAGAGGACTGGGAAAAAGGGAAAAACATTGATTGGTATTCTTCTCCATTAGTGAGTAGACCAAACTTTACAGTGTTTTTTTTTATGAATTTAATGGAAATAGACCTTTTTCAACCCTTGTAACTTACTGAGATGAAAGATGTATTTACAAAATATTTATAATGTGATTATCCCTAAAAGCTACCCAAAGGGTATGAAAATTGAGTTACACACCAATTAACACTTCCAGTTTCTGTAAAACAATGCTCAATTACAGTTCACCTATACCCAACAGTATAACTCTGAAGAAGGCTAATCACTTTCAGATGCAAGAAAGACTAAGTAACTGCTCTTACTAGACAAAATGAAAAATATAGTTGAAAATCTGTTCTAATAAAATTCTTTGTAGATGTAACATATTCAAGGTAATTAATGTGTATGTACTTGTGATGTCATGGATACATTTCCCTAACTTGTTGCTGCTTAAAAAGTACACTCCAAGAAAAATGCAATTTTTAAATTTAAAATGACAGCCTACCTGTCCATTTTTTTTTAAAGCCAGGGGTGTCACTAGCATGGAGCACCCATGGAATGGGCTCCACATCGGTTGTTGAGTGCCCTGGCTCCCAATGCCCTGACCACCCACATTTTTTTTCTTTAATCTGCATGCTGCTTCAGCGCCTGCTCACTTGTCCCTGGAGTGTCTAGGGGTGTTCATAATTCTAACAACACCCCTGTTAAAGGCAATACTGTTGTGCACTTATCCACCAATTGCCTTTGTTGGTAATCTGTTGATCTGAAAAAACCCTGCTAGTGATGCAGGACAGGACTCCCTAAATACCCCATTGCAAGCTCCTTTCTGTTTTTTTTCACACATACAGAAAGTCAGATGTGAAAAAAATCATAGTATTAAAAGGTTTTACAGAATTCTAAATAAGATTCAAACATGCCTTAGAAGTATGCCTGGGGCACACATAGAGAATGTTGCATAGCACAGACTTGAGAAAATACAGTCCCAGGTGACCCTGTGAGGAACTCTCTGGATTGATGTCTCCAATGGAATACACAAGACTCACATTAAAGTAAAGTAAGTGCATGCTATGTGCATGCTTCAGTGTAGTTACAGTGTTTTAGTTTGAATAAATAATGCTTGAATTGGAGTTTTTCCTTGCATCAGTCCCCGAAAGAACATTATGGTGCAGCTCTGCATAGAAACCAATCAGCTCCCAGGTTTTATTGCCAAAGCTTCATTGAACAAGCTGAAGTTAGAAGCTGATCGGCTACCATGCACAGCTGTGCCAGATTCTGAGTGCACCAGTTTTAGTAACTCAACCCCATGAGTTGTATGACTTGACCAGGCACATCTAGCCAACAGCTCTAAGGGTTGGACATTCATTGTTCAGTTTAATATACTCATTCAGTTTTTACTGTCCTCCCAAGGCAATGGCTACTGAGTACACACATTTGCAACTTATACTTTAATACTATGCAAGCCAGTCGCCCTGTCACACAGCCAAAACACTGTTCCACAGCTGGATCATTTCCTAACATAAGGCCAGCATCATATGTCTATGGCCAGTTTCATTTGGATCAGAAAAATGTATCATCTGGGCAGTTCCACCAACTGTGCTTTAGAAAGTCTGTAATATTGCCCCTTCTAAAGCAATCATTGGGGTAGATTTAGTCAATTTATAAAGACTATTGACTTTGCAAAGTGTATTTTCAGATTACAAAGTAAATATTAACTCAGTGAATAAGGTGAACCTATATATATTCACGTCAATCGTTCAGTTATACACAAACAAAATGCCTTCCAGATGACTGGGCATATAACATGAACATAGCCTTTTTACAAACTATTCAAACATACACTTTGAAAAGTGAGTAAACTTTCTCTACTATTTAAGTACATCAACCCCAATGTATATTAAGGGGAGATTTACTAAAGCTGGAGAGTGCAAAATCTGGTGCAGTTCTGCATAGAAACCAATAAGCTTCCAGATTTTATTGTCAAAGCTTAACTGAATGAACTGAAGCTAGAAGCTGATTGGCTACCATGCACAGCTACACCAGTCGCTGAGTTCTCCAGCTTTAGTAATCCCTATACTTTTATTACAGAGGTCAAAAAGTATCTCAATTCAATGTAACAACTAATCGAGAGGCAGACATTTCACAAGAAGTCATTCCGATATGCGCACAAGTATGCAAATATTTTGCATTATGGTTTATTTGGCCAAGGACAATTCTTTCCTTAAAAAGGCGTTTATGTTTTGCTTATATCATTTTATATGTTATGTACGGTTACTATTACTACATAATAAAAATAACAAGAGAAGAATGACATAATTACTATTATTTTCTTTTTTTGTAGATTGTTTTTCTTGCATACTATTTCTCAAGTGGTTTATAGTGATTTCCTTTGGCTGCTAATACACTTGGAATGATTTATTAGTTAGGAAACATGGGCTATGCTACAAAAGTAAGTGAACTGAAATGAATGTACAGCCAATAGAAGTTCTCTTCCCAGGTGAGAAATATCTAAATACACTGTTTGAGCATTACGGACTCTTTCCAACAGGTACATCCGGTGATACAGTCTGCTGTGACAGGAAATGTCACTGTGAAATATAGGGATAATATATTTTCCATGGCCTCTCTTTTTTACATTATGTGTGTATTATGGTCTTTGGACTAGAAGCTTGAAATCTCTCCTTTAAATAGAGTATATAGATGTGTATGCACATATACACAATATAGTGGTATGTGTGAAAACATGTACATGAAATGTCACTAAACTACATCAAACCCATGTGAAGTACCAGTGGTATTAGGTTTAAAGCCTATGAAAACCCAAACCAAAATTGCAATATATTGCAGCTCACCAGTCTTTAGATGTAGTTGTTGCATTCATGTGTCCTTTTCAGCAAGTACAGAAATGCTTATTTATCTTGTCACTTCCTATAAACTTAAAAGAAATCACATTGAACCTTATCTTTATATTATAAACTACCAATCCACTATGTAATAGCCAAGAACCAAGGCAGACATGTTTGACGTCCAGCCTATGTGACAACCAATGAACCTACTTATGAAGGATTATGAAATGTGTTTTTCACAGGATTTTCAGGTGGAAATAAAGAAAAAAAAAGCCTGAAAAAAAAAGAAAAACAAATGCAGCTGACATCCAAGGACCAGTGAGCTGCATTAAATCAAATTTTTGTTTGTGAGTTGAAAAAATTCTACAGAGAAGCTCAAGGCACCTACAGTATATTGTAGCAATACCTCTGCAGAGGATGCAGCTATTAACTGTCTCTTTCCCAAACAGTACAGGGGCCACCAGTCCCCCAAGCAGTAGTCCATTCATTCCTGCTCCAATAAACAGTCTAGGGCAGGGGTGTCAAACTCAATTTCATTGAGGGCCTCATAAGCATTATGGTTGGCCAGTTGTATCTGTAAGATGGATATCCACAGTCCCCCATCTCCCCTTACATTAGATGTCAAAAGTCCCCCCACTCTCCCTTACATCACAGTGCACCCCCTTCACTTGTGCTCCTTCTGGGAAGAAGCTGGGGCGAAAAGAGTTTGAAATATGTTCTTTTACAATGATGAATGATATATTTATAACCTGGTATTCAAATATAACATAAAGACCTTTCTAAAAAGATTTCTGAGACTTTATAGATTATAAAGTCTTAAATTATTTCAAGTTCTATCAACTAAGACAAGCAAATCCTGGAATACAATTCAAGAAACACTATACTTCTCAATGCAGTTCTGAAACAAAAGAAATATGCATTTCTGCTGTAAGGGGCACTGCAGGGGAGAGGCTTCAGTTTAGTTTGCTTGTGGGCTCCATCTTGTACCTCCTACAGTTGGGTGATTGTTGAGATACAGTAGATGATAGTTTCTGTCCTCATCTCAGGCCTTAATTGACAGATAAGTGTATCTTTATAACCTTTAACTGCTTCCCATCCACCCTATAGCAGAAATACTGCTACAGGGTGGCACGGGTACACAGCACAGCCATCCAGAGCAGTGTGATTACAGTGAACACACTGACACAGCCCCCTAGTAAAATACTCCCTGCACACAGTTAACCCTTTGATCGCCCCACATGTTAACCCCTTCCTGCTCAGTGCCATTAGTACAGTGTCAGTGCTTTTTTTTTTAGCACTGATCACTGTATTGGTGTCACTGGGGATGTCAGTGACACCAAATCAGTTCCCCCCAGTGTCAGAATGTCTGCCGCAGTCCTGCTATAAGTCACTGATCACGACCATTACTAGCAAAAATAAAAAATTAAAAAAAATTCCAGTATATATACCGCCATTTGCAAATGCTATAACTTTCATGTAAACCAATTAATTTACAGGTATTTTTTTTTTTTTTTAGCAAAGACATGTAGTAGAATACATTTTGGTGTAAATTCATGATGACATTAGATTTGTTAAATTGTTTTACTGGACATGTTTAACGACTAGCCTACAGGGCACTTATACCCCCTTCCTGCACAGGCCAATTTCCAGCTTTCAGAGCTGTCACACCTTGAATGAAAATTGCGCGGTCATGCAACACTGTACCCATATGAAATTTTTATCATGTTTTTGAGACAGATAGAGCTTTCTTTTGGTGGTATTTAATCACCTCTGGGATTTTTATTTTTTCTTAAACAAACCAAAAACCAGTGAAAAATTTGAAAAAAAAAAAAAATCATGTTTTTGAGACGTTTTTTCTTAGTTTTTGTTATACAATTTTGTAAATAAGTGATTTTTCTCCTTCACTGATATGCGCTAATGAGGCTGCAGTGATGGGCACTGATAGGCTGCACTGATGGACACTGATAGGTGGCACTGATGGGCACTGATGAGGAGGCACTGGTAGATTGCACTGATGGGCATTGACAGGCATCACTGATGGGCACTGAAAGGCAGCACTGATACATGACACTGATATATGGCACTGATAGGCGGCACTGATAGGCAACACTGACTGGCACAAGTAGGCAGCACTGACTGGCACTGTTAGGCGGCACTGACTGGCACTGATATGTGGCACTGACTAGCACTGATACGTGGCACTGATAGGCGACACTGACTGGCACTGATAGGTGGCACTGATTGGCAGCACTGATAGGTGGCACTGATTGGCATAGATAGGTGGCACTGACTAGCACTGATGGGTGACATTGAAAGGCAGCTCAGATGGGCACTGATATGTGGCATTGATGTGCACTGGTATGTACTGATATGTGGCATTGATGTGGCACTGATGGGCACTGGCACATGGCACTGATGAGCACTGACTGCTGGCACTGATGGACACTGACAGGTGGCACTTCTGGGGCCACACTGATCATCAGGGCACACTGATCATCAGTGCCCTGATCATCAGTGTACATGTCCCCTCCGTGGAAAGCCGATTATCGGCTCTCCTCTCGAGCTGTCAGCGTGACAGCTCGAGAGGAGAGAAATGCCGATAACCGGCATTTGCGTGTTTACATGTGATCAGCTGTGATTGGACACAGCTGATCACATGACCGAGCCGACAGCTTCGGCTCTTTCCGTGATCAGCTGTGTCCGAGGGACACAGCGCACCGGCGATCGCTGCGCTGCGAGCAAAAAATAAAAACTACACAGGTGATCAAATACCACCAAAAGAAAGCTCAATATGTGGGGGAAAAAAAAAAATGATGTAAATTTCATTTGGGTGCAGCATTGCATGACCGCGCAATTGTCAGTTATGCAGCGACGTAATGCAAAAAATGGCCTGGTCGAGACAGGAGGAAAATCCTCAGGAGGGCAAGTGGTGGTTAAAGGATTCCTAATAATAATGTTCTCTGCCTTCACGGCATAATGTTTATCCATAGTGTTCTCAGTAAATTGTTTTTTATTTTCCTCCTCTCAGTAAAATGGTGAGACCAACACATAGAGTTTGGAAACATTTCCACAGTGCAATTTCTCCTAAAGCTGCAATTTGAAAATATTGTAAAAAATATTGTAAAAAGAAATATTATTTTCCAAATGCTACAAGGATGACAAAACACATCTTTGAATGACAGAGGTGTCCTAAAAATATTAAAAAAAATACTTTATGAAATAAAACGATGAGGACCATAATGAAAGTGCAAGCAACTTTTCCCTCTGGAGATCTCTGTCCAGAAACTCTATTGGTGTTAGGGCACAAATCTGGTTTAGTTTTTTCTATGTTGATGGTTTCTTGCTTTTTGTGTTGCTTTTGAGAGAGGGGGGAGGGGGTTACCTGTTCTTATTTTATAGTTGAAATGTTCTTAACATATGTAGTCCTTGTTATTGCATTTGTAATAAAAACTATGATTTTAAAAAGTAAGTTTAGTTTATTTACTGAATAAGCTGTACTTTTATTTTAAGCATAATACTTTTATATACACTGCATTTCATGTTCCCAGTGTAATAAAATGACTTTCAATGTATGAAACTACTCCACACTGAATGTTTTTAAAATTTTTCTGAAAATTTCCATTATTACTGTAAAAAAAAACAGGGAAAAAAAATGTTTTTTTCTAAGTCTACTGGTATACTCAAGACTAGATCCCTTGTGGTGTGGTTCTGTAATCGGTTCTGAGCAAAGTCTATTCAAGTTCTTTGTCTTGGCATCTCTAAGGCCTCTGGAGCACCTGTTCAGTCCAACGGCTGCCAGAAAGCAGCAGCCCCTACATCTCTGGATCCTTTCTGGAGAGAAGGAACCTTGCTCTCCAGTGCCTCAGACTATTTATCTACATTCTACCCCCCTTCTGGACGCTTACCCTCCTGAGATTGGCCAGAACCTGATAAATATTCAAGTTGGTCAATTTGAATCTCCTGCCTTAAGATCTGGAAGCTTCTTCTAGAGGCAGGGGTAAGCAATCAAACTCCCGGCCTGTGAGACCCTGAATAGGCCAGAACAAACAGCTACTGCTCTCCTGAATACAGAAGGAGCCAAAGCTAAATTTGCTTAGCAACCTACGCTACAACGAGGAGTCCAAACTATCAAAATAAAATATATAAATGATATAAATCATTGGTTTATATGCGCAAATTAAGACAGACACATAAATATAATAAAAAAACATGTAATCTGTTTTATTATATGAATAAGCAAATAAAGCACTTTGGTATCCATGAAGTTATTATCACATTTGTTAGTGAGCATTGAGCACCTTATTTAATCAAGCCATTTTTTTATATATCACTTATCACCTACATTATCCCCACAGCTAAGAATGTCTTTATTGCAGAAATGCATGGAAATGGAAGCAGACAAATGAACATGAAACACCATATAGGTAGAAAATGATTTATATCAAAAGCTATTCTAGAGGGTTGGAATGGATGATTGTTACTGAATCTGGATCAGGCACATTTCATATACAGGGTGTACCTAAAGTCTGGACACATAGGCAAAATCTATATTGAGAAAAAAACAAATAGTGATATTTCCTATATGTCCAGACTTTAGGGACACCCTGTACATAAAAGCTGCACTGCTTGGGAAAAGAAGATTGGGGCCAGAGATTGTCATCTTTACACACAGACCCCAAACAAATATAATAGGAATGATTAAGCCATGTGAACTTTAATCGCTCCCAACTGGCCTATAGCAGAAGTACTGTTACAGGGCGGCAGGGATGCGCAAAATCCTGTATATATACACGTGATTTTGTATTTTACCGGTAGGGGGCATGTGTGCGCGCACCCTACCCGCACCGCCATTGGCACCTCTATTGGCATGTTAATGACCGGGCTGGGACTCGGTGATCGTTGGCAGAACTGACAGGGGAGAGGTCTGCCTACACAGTAAAACACACACAGCACACTATGTAAAACACACACAGCACACAGTTAACCCTTTGATCCCCACAAATGTTAACCCCTTCCTGCCCAGTGTCATTAGTGCAGTGTCAATGCTTTTTATTAGCAGTGATCACTTTATTAGTGCCACTGGGGATGTCAGTGGCAGTTAGTCATTTTCCCCCAGTGTCAGAATGCCTGTCGCAGTCCCACAATAAGTCGCTGAATGCCGACATTACTAGTAAAAAAAAAAAATTTCAGTATTTATACCTCCATTTGTAGATGCTATAACTTTCACGTAAAACCAATTAATGTACATGTATTGGGATTGTTTTAGCAAAGACATGTAGCAGAATAAACTTTGGCCTATATTTATGCCGAAATTTGATTTTTAAAAATTTTATTATTGGACATGTTTAAGAGCAAAAATTGTTTTCAAAATTGTTGCTAATTTTTTGTTTATAGCCCAAAAAATAAAAAAAACAGAGGTGATCATATACCACTGAAAGAAATTTCCATTTGGGGAAAATAAAGAAGAGAAATTTAATTTGGGTGCAGCGTTGCATGACCGCATAGTTGTCAGTTAAAGTAACGCAGCGCTGTATCGCAAAAAATGGCCTAGTCAGGAAGGGGGGTAAATTCTCTGGAGGGCAAGTGGTTAAATTAATAACTTGATCGACTGAAAATGTTCTATTGATTTCTGTTGCTCTTGCTTTCATATGAGTTTGTGCGCTTTCAAATGCAATTTGCACAGAATCGCATGACATAACATTTACATATGTCAGTAGTACTTGATCACATCAATGCAATGCAACTGTGATGTGACTTTGGGGAAGGTATCTGTGCAACTTTGGTGCAATGCAGCACAATTTTATATCCCATAGATATGAATGAAGATGCACCAAAAATGCATGTACGTGCATTTGTTTCGCATTTTTGCCTGCGGTTTTTGTTGGTTGGTTAGGAGCCTTCATCTGTCGGCATCCTCACAACTACTGACTCCTTGTTGTAAGAGCAGGGATGAATCATTGGTTGTTAAGGAGTCGTTGTCCTAATAACTAGTGAACCATCTCTGCTGTCAGCCAGGGGGACTCCTGGCTTACAGTAGAATGTAAACAAATAAGCTATCAGTAAAACTGGAAAAAAAAAAACAGTGTGGCAGTCCCCCACAAATTCCATACCAGACCCTTATCCAAGCATGTAGCCCAGGAGTCCAGGAAAGGAGGAGAGACGAGCATGTGACCCACCTCCTGAGCATACCAGGCCACATGATCTCAACATGGGTGGGTACTTTGTCAGTGGGGACCCTCCTGGCAACGCACCTTCTCCCCATGTTGATGAGGACAAGGCCCTCTTTCCCACAACTCTGGCCCGGTGGTTTTGAGGGTGTGGGGGGTGAATTATCAGATATCCCGGCCACCTCAAGTGAATGAGTATAGGATACATAGTAACCCTACTCATTCCCCAAAAAAAAAACCTGTCGGCCGCCAACTCCAGACCTCTCTCACTGCTTGCCACCGCTGAACGACAGATCCACCCTCCCACACTTACTGTATATAAATAAGGGGTGGCGTAAATGATGTCACAAGGGGGAAGAGCCACCCAGTGATGTAGTTTACCATATATAGACAGGGGGGGGCCGGGATCTGAAGACCCCCTTGTTAAAGAGGGCTTCCAGATTCTGATAAGTCACACCCCAGCACCCCCACAACCACAGGGCCAGGGTTATGGAGAACAGGCCCTTGTTCTCATCAACATGAGCAAAGCACCTCTGGTATGTGGCCTGGTATGGTTTGGGGGAACCGCACACTCATCTCCCCCTTTCATGGCATAAGGAGCTGCATGCTCAGATAAAGGTCTGGTATGGATTTTGGGGGGACCTCTTAACTTTTTTATTTTTGGAGTGGGGTTGGACCAGGGGCGGACTGACCATTTAGGCACTCGGTCACTGCCCGAGGGCCCGGGGTCAGTAGGGGGCCCCATGACACTGCCCCTGGTACCTTTCATATGCGTTTTTTTGGTGGTTTGAGTTGAGTGTGGGTGAGGACAAAGGGGCCCCATGATTTCCTAATGCCCGGGGGCCCCACAAATTGTCAGTCCGCCCCTGGGTTGGACTACATTCTGCAGTCCGCAGGGAATCCCCTGGCTGACAACAAAGATGAGTGATTGGTTGTTAGGACCTGGCTGGATCCTTAACAACCAATGACGCACCCTTGTTGAGTCAAAATGCCGTAGTAAATAAAATAAAATGCATTAACAATACAAACAAGTCACACTACATACTTCCATTGAAAATCAGACCATATAGCAGCTGCACTAATGTGAACCTAGCCTTAAAGGACATTGGAGTGCTATTGCACTTTTATGATAACGGTGATCCATCTAATATAAAAGTTTCTACCCCAGCCTATCTCACCACAGTAGCACTTAGAAATGCTTTTTACACCAGGGTTCTAGAATGACAAGAATAAACTAATCTCTTTCTAAACTGCTTAATCTATATGAATTCATACTATGTGATTAAAATAAAATAGAAGACCATTTTACATTTTCATTTATACAGTGTGGTTAATTTACAAAAGGCAAATAGGCTGTTCACTTTGCAAGGGAATTTTCCATTAGCTTAGTAAATGTAGTGAAAATTGACTTTGCAAAGAATATCCAATTGCATGTTGGGAAAAAAAAAATGTTTCTTTGCTTGTGCATGACTGGGTGATGGAAGTCAGCAGAGGTTTACCTCATTAACTATGGG